GATTGATTGATTTGATGGATTGATTTTTGGGAAGTGAGGCTTGTTCAACCCCCGAGAGCCAGTTTGGTCTAGTGGTTAAAGCACCAGGCTAGAAATCAGGGGGCCGTGAGTTCAAATCCTGCCTAAGCCCTGAAAGCCAATCACCAGAAGACGGTGAGTTCTAGTTCTGCCTTAGGCATGAAAGTCAGCTGGGCGACTTTGGGCCCGCCCCTCCCTCTCAGCTCACCCCAACCTTGCAGGGTTGTTGTGGTGGTAAAAAGAGGTGTATTGGATAGGTTTGCCACCTTGCGCTATTTGCAAAGATAATCAAGGCAAATAAACAAATAAATTCAAACTTTTGGGCACTTGTCAACCAGCATGTATTTACAAGAGCTGCCTTCCAATAAACAGCGGCCGTAAAGGGGAAGCTGGATTCACTTAACGGCCGTGTGATTCATTTAATAACTGCAGTGATTGTCTTGATAACCATGGGGGAAGAAAAGGTAAAACTGGGCACTGACAGGCACAATGTCTTTAATTAAGTATGGAGTAATTCAAAATTCTGACCCCATTTTGGTTATAAGTCGAGGATGACCCCAGGGGGACATGGGCTGTCTAATCCAGGGGTCTCCAACCTGGCTGAGGAATTCTGGGAGTTGAAGTCCACAAGCCTTAAAGGGGCCAAGGTTGGAGACTCCTGGGCTAGTCCTAATTCTTATTGGGGGCTGTTTCCATGGGCTGCCTTGTTTCAGAGACCCAAAAGCGCTTCCGGATTTTCGCGGAGAACCTGGAAAGGGCCCGCCTCTATCAGGAACTGGATCAGGGCACCGCAGAATACGGAGTCACCAAATTCAGCGACCTGACAGGTAGGTGAGACGTTTGGTTCCGCAAAAGTTGTTTGAAAAACGGATGAATATTTTGCACTTGGAAGTGATGAAACGGGCCTATTATTTGGCCTGCAAACCCTGCAGAGGCTTTTTTACAAGCCTCTGGGAGGCCGAAAAGGGCCTCAAACCAACCGAAAATCAGCTGTGAGGCGCAGTGCAGGTAAGGGGGGGGGGGGGGGGCGCGTGCGTGCGGGGGGGGGGGGGGCACACGTATTGCCTTCTGGGTGCTGGCATGCGAGTGCACGAGCGCAATGTTTGGCACAGGAGCCCAAAAAAGGTTAGCCACTGCTGGCATAGGGTGTGTGTTGCTTGAGCAGGGGGTTGGACTAGAAGACCTCCAAGGTCCCTTCCTACCCTATGATTCCATATTCCGTGCAAATGGAGAATGACGCGTTTGGGGCAGGATTGGCCACTCATGGTCTGCTTCGTCTCCTTCCAGAGGAAGAGTTCCGCGCTGCGTACCTGAATCCACTTCTGGCGAAGCTCCCTGGCCGGCCAATGAAAGTGGCCTCCGTCCCGAACGGTTCATTCCCCGAGGAGTGGGACTGGCGGGACCACGGGGCTGTCACCGGGGTCAAAAACCAGGTGGGTCTTCTAGGTTTGTCCGTTCCCTGGACAAACAGTTGGATGGGTTCTGAGATGGGGTCCTGGGTGGGGCTGTGGTCGTTCTGCCTAGGTGGCGATGCCCAACTCTTTGGTCAATGGGGCCATATCAAGTGATTGAGGGCAGGGGTGTCCAACTTGGCAACTTCCCTCAGACCTGTGGACTTCAACTCCCAGAATCCCCAGCACAGCTTGGTCCTCCTTGAATTAAGCTTGATGTCTCTGTTGAGGTAATTCCCCGTTAGGAGAATGAGTGCATACTTGAGTACGTATTTGTGTGCGTATGAGTGCGTATAATGAGTGCGTATTTGAGAGTAGTTTTTGAATAATACACACACAGTACACAGATACACTGTACAGTAAATGTAGGTTTTTACTTCCAGAAAGTTTAAGCAAAGTTCAAAATAGGCAGTCCAAAGTCATTCACAGGTAAGATCAGTCAGTTTTTAGTCCAGGGATAATCCAAATATCAAATTCCAGTATCATAAACAGTTCAGTATCAGACTTACATCAAATCCAGTAATATCAGTCAATTAGAAGGAACGGCAATACTCTCCAACAGAAGGAAACAGAGATACACACTCAGACACACTCTCTTCTGAGACTAAGACTAAACAACCCAGGTTTCTGGCTCCATCTTATGGCCGTTTGAGAAACCACACCCAATTGCATGCTCTTGCATTCCCTTAAAGACCTAGTACTAAAATGTTTATCCTGGTTTATATATTTCTAACCCAAATACCTCTTAGGTGACTTATATTCCTAACAGTCTCTAGCTCAGGACAGTGTTTATGAAACTTTGCAATTTCAAGACGGGTTTGACTTCTAACTTCCCCAGCTTTGCCGGCCGGGGAAATTCTGGGAGTTGAAGTCCCACCCGTCCTCCAGTGGCCAAGCTTGAGATTGAAACATGGGCAGCTACACGCCTCTTCATTTCAACTTGGAGTTAGAGCGGGAGGGCGGGGAGGTTGTCTACTAATGGGTTACTTTGGAGAAATAAAACCTCCGCAGTTCCATATGAGAGTTTGTGAGATTCTGGAAACCTTTGAAGGTCCAAATCAAAAGTTGTGCAGAAGAACTCAGATGGTCCCCATAACAAAAGAGAACTTTCTAATACTGTCTACATGGAAGCCTTGGGGGTTCGGCTGGAAAATGCACTGTTTAATACTGGGGGAATTCTGGGAGCTGAAGTCCTCTACCTTCCAGTGGCTAAGGTCCAGAAACATGAGTGTGGCTGGGGAATTCTGGGAGTTGAAGTCTGGACTGTCTTCCAGTGGCCGAGGCTGAGAAAGCACTGTCCTAAAGCTTGGATGGAATTTTTCTGATGCTGTTTGCGTTGTCTCTCCTTCCCTCCGCAGGGCGAGTGTGGCTCCTGCTGGGCCTTCTCCGTAACGGGCAACGTAGAAGGACAGTGGTACCTTCACAAGGGTACCTTGCTTTCCCTCTCGGAGCAAGGTAACTGAAGGGTTGGGGTCACAATCTGTCGGGGTGGGTGGGTTGCCCTGTTGGAAAACATGGATCCACACCCCCCATGCCATGGTTTGTGGATGCTTCTTACCTTGACTGGTTTAGTTTACTTTAGTTTATTGTCCTTGTACAACGAAATTAAATACCATCTTCAGTGTACATTATTATAACTATGAAAATAAAGCATAAACACACATCCTTCACATTGTATACAATTGAATGGAAAAACCCCTGATATTGCATTCATATTGCACTCTACGGTATAATTCAGTAGAGCGACTGCCCTGGGATAGAAGCTGTTTTTCAGCCTTTTTGTCCTTGTTTTTATTATTGTCCTGTACCGGCTTTTGTACAGGGTAATATGTTCACCCAAAGCCAGGATGAAGGAAGCTCTGTGTCCTGAGCAACCATTGGTCAAGAGATTTTGTGAGGACTCGGCCACTCTTTGGGGTCACGCCATTGCTGCTGACTGATGTTGCTGCTGTTAGTGTTGGTCTGACGTGGAGG